ATTGAAAGTGACAGGCGTCTTTGTGAAAGGAGCCTTACAGTGCCATTCAAAAGATAATATTACACCTAAAAGCGCATGGTTGCCTCCAATTTAATTGGCTAGACTTCAGTGTCCACTTTGCAGGAGCTCCTATTCTAGGACCAAGTAAAAGACAGTAACAATTACAGAACCAGAACATTTCCGGAAACAGTGTTTGGTAGAACACCATCTACTCTTTTAGCTTTGGTTTAATAATTAGCTCTTAAACATTTTATAAAGACTTTAAAGGTACCAAATGCAACTAATTCTTAAAATCAGTTTTTATTCAAAATACAAAAAAAAGACATTTAAAAAGGAAATCATTCAAATGTAACACTTAGCATTTTAAAATTGAACATACAATGCAAAATACCTTTTTTTTCCCCCTCAACATTGCCTCCTAAAGTATATGCAAGATAGAAATTGATAATTCTATATGACCATAGTCAGTATGATACATGTTACATCATTCAACCACCAGGCTCACGGTGAGATGGAAATAGATCTAAACATGTTTATCAGACAACTTGGTCCGCTTCTTCAGGAGTGAATGGCAGTATCTGACTGACTGTGGTCATATTGAATTATCTGTTTAATTATTGTAAATGTTGTATGCGTTGATAGTGTAGGGAAGAGCTTAGGAAAGCGGTTTGGTACTTTTAAAGTTTGAATAATTGCTTTAGGGTTATTTATGGGTACATGGATGTGGTACCCATCCGACCCACTGCACTATTATTGATCTAATAATGTACAAATTAGTGGTCAGCAGTAGGAAATTTAGGAGATGGTTTTGTGCGAAGGATGTGTAAATTCTTAGGTGGCTTGTCTTAAATTTGCCACTACTTTGTTGTGGATTTATACTAGTCATGCACAATTAGAATGAACTGAGAACCTTGTCCTGTCCCCGTGATGTTACAATCACAATGCTACCCGTGTTCTCTCTCGTCATTGCCTTGAAGCTGTTTACCCCTTCACTCTCTAGCTCTAGTAAACTCACTGAAACTTCCCTGAGTTATTCTGAATATTTATAATTTCTACTATATCAACTTCTAACTATTTATTCTGTTTTATATTTATTTAGTTTTGAATTATGTAATTTTGAAAGCTGAAGGGCATATTTACAAAGCAGGGAATGTGACATTAAGCAAACATCTACAGGTGGTTATTCGTTGATTGTAATTTAACCCTTTCGCTGCCAGAACCTTTTAAAAAAAAAAAAAAAGCTCTAAATGTTAAAATGCACATTTTAGGCCTGAAGATTCCGTCAAACCCACATAATTATATATTGCCTGAAAGCAGAGACAGTTTTTCCTTAAACGAGAACTATGGGGTCAGTTCTTTTCCCCATAGTTCTCCTAAAGGTAACGGGAGGACACAAACTAGCGCCCTCCCGTCACCCAAAGCTCAGTATACCGCGAGCTACAGCTCGTGTTATACTGAGACGCCGCAGCCGGGACGGATCCCGACAATACTGCCTGGATCCACCCAGCTGTGTGAGTGACAGCTGGCTCTGCCTATCTAGAGGCAGAGCCAGCTGTAGCCGCCACCCCTCCCCCGTCCGTTCCGCCAGTCAGCACTAGAGGATCGGACAGGGGAATCCCTGCAGGGAGCCGTGAGTGACAGTCGCAGCTCTCTGCAGGCACAGGATCGAGAAGTGAACGAGCGACGGTATGTGTTTGCTCACTTCCTGATCTATTTAGCCGACATGTGACAGTTTCATTGTCACACGTCGGCTCGAACTATGAGGTCAGGCTGAGTGATTTTCACTCGCCTCATAGTACTCCTTTAATTTGCAGTGGATCTCTCTAATAAATTTGGCTCTTGCAGTCAAACATACCCTGATCTTTGGGCAATGAATCCTTCTTACAGTGTCGAGCAGTAGCTTCTATGCCTGGCCAGGAAGGGGGTCTAAACACCTGGTCTTGAAGTGGTTAAGCAGCCATCCTTTAACCCAGCTACCTTTAGATATACACTATCTGGAGGCAGCTAAAGTCCTTGTGCCTCTAGTACAAGCCCCATGCTAAGTTATTGCCCATATAGAGATCCTTCTATGAAGACATCCTCTCCAAGCAGACACGCAAGAGGGACAGAACAAAATCCTCAGGGATTGGTTGGGCCAGGTAAATATTCATTACTCAGTGTTTCACACACTGATTACTGGAGCATCATCAACAGCAACAGACAGCACCAATTAACACACTGAGCTTAGGAGAACCAGCAGAACCCAAAAATATAAACAGAGCTCAGACTGATTACAGCCTAGCTGTAACATACACACAATTTAATTAGGGCGACTCTAGCTTAGGTCAAGGTCACTGTAGCCCACAGGCCATACATGGCCTGTCAGTGCTCAGTGTGCAGCCCTCTGTGCTTCTGACCACTGTTCAGGGCTTTAAACTGTATGTGTGAAACTGCCAGAATTTAGCTTTCAAAATGACTGCTGAGTCCTAGTCTGCTGCAGGATGACTGACAGCCCTCCTGTATACATGTAAAACAAAGCCACGGCTTGTTAATACAGGACCATTTTCCGATTGGGACTTTGCAGGGTTTGCTTACCTGCCCCCTACCTGCATCTTTCTGCTGCCCCAATTTTGTCCGCCTCCTCCCCAGACTACTGCTCCGGCAGAAGAAAAATGGGGGTAAGGGGTGGGGTAAGTAAACCCTTCAAAATCCTTATCTGACAGCACTACTGTATTAACAAGTCAACAGCTTTTAGGCTCCACACCCAGGCCATCTCTCCCCCACATCACACTCATCTGGTACTGGCCATCTACCTTACCATCAGACCACTGCAATTTGCACTGCGGCCGCTGTGGTATGAACTGCTTCGCTTGTTTTCAAATAAGGTAAATTAAAGGTAAACAAAACCATTCATAGGTAAGAAGCTGAAGTGAGGACTGGCCACAGTACTCACTTCAGAGGTCAGTAGTAGGAATGGATTTGATTACTAACACAAATCCATTCATAAATTAAAGAAAATTATTAACACAGAAATATACCATAACTTTGTCATTTCCATTTTTTTTGCTGTATTCTTCTATTTGAGCTTTTGTAAACAATAAACAAAAACTGCAAAAGTAGTTATTGTTACACCCCTTTTCTTTTCCAAAATATTAGCTACCTCTAATAAAGCAAAAACACAAATTAATGTGCAAAAACAAAACGAAAAGGGCAAATAGTTTTTCTGCAACTACAAACGGTATACAGCTGCTGCATCTGAAGTTACATAGTTACATAGTATTTGTGTACACACCACCTCATCTATGCCCATAGCCCTCAGCTTGTGTAGCAAGCGTTTGTGTGGTACCGTATCAAAAGCCTTTGAGAAATCCAGATATACCACATCCACCGGCTTACCTCCGTCCATATCTCTACTTACCCCCTCATAAAAAGTTAGCAAGTTAGTTAGGCAGGAACGGTCTTTCCTGAACCCGTGCTGATTGTCATTAACTATCCCGTTTTCCTGAACAAATTCTACCAGATAATCCTTTATTATGCCCTCTAGCATTTTACAAACTACCGATGTTAGACTGACCGGCCTATAGTTCCCAGGTTGGCACCTTGCCCCCTTTTTGAATATTGGGACTACCGTAGCCCTCCGCCAATCACTGGGGATCCTACCAGTCATTAAGGAGTCCTTTTATTCTCTTATATATGCTGCCTTGCAATATTCACCTTATCCATGCACCAGATTCTACAAAATAAAGGTAGCACAGTTGTAATATCTTGTTGGTATAACCCTTATAATTAATAAGGGTAAATATACAAAACAAAAAATAGATTTTGCGGCCCTCCGGACATGTTGGAACCACACTTGAGGTCACCTACACTGTGTGGCCAGATTATTATGACCACCACGTTTGTAGGCAAATTAGCTATAATTTCGCGCTGATGTTGCTAGAGGGCCAGATGTTTTCTGAAGATATGGGTAAACAACGCGATTTAACAGCCTTTGAACGTGGGGATGATTGTTGGCGCAGAATTTGTTAAATGTTCAAGATCCTTTGCTGTCTGCAGTTAACAAGATATAATGTCTCCAATTCACACAGGAACACAAGGATTGGACAGTCGAGCATTGGAAAAAAGTCATGTGGTCCGCTGAATCACGTTTCCAGTTGCATCATGCAGATGGCAGAGTGAGAATTTGGCGGGAACATCATGAAAGCATGCACCCCACATGCATGAGCACAACCCTTCAAGCTGGCGGGGGCAGTGTTATGGTGTGGGGCATGTTTTCCTGGCATGATTTGGGCCCTTTAATTGTGGAATAACGTCTGAATAGCACAACATACCAAAGTATCATTGCTGATCCAGTTCATCCTATCATGTTGATGGCGTATCCCAATGGAGAAGGCTTCTTCCAACAAGACAATGCGCTATGCCACGGTGCTCGTATTGTGCAGGAGTGGTTTTAAGAACACGAGGGAGAATTTACCTTGCTTAGGTGGCCCCCACAATCACCAGATCTAAATCCAATTGAGCATTTGTGGGACGAAGTTGAAAGAGCCATCAGGCAGCTAGTTCCACAACCATCATATCTCACAGAACTGGACAGTGCTATTCATCAGGCATGGTGTCAGATTCCTCGCATCACCTTTCAACATCTCGTGGAGTCAATGCCAAGAAGAATCGCCGCAGTATTGAAGGCAAAAGGTGGCCCAACGAAGTACTGATGGTGTGGTCATAATAATCTGGCCACTCAGTGTATATTTACTAAGTTGACCACCACTGCATTATATTTTTATTCTGCAGAGTGGTGGGTGCACACATTTTATTTTTTTCAGCTCAGCCTGTAGTTAGGCTTTTAAAGACTTGCCACACTGAAGTAATTCTATAGTTATGTGTGTGTGCATACGTCTATGTGGCTTTACACATACTGGAATCAACTTGAAAGCATTCTTCATTAACACAACAGAATGTAACTTATACTTTTTGGCCCCCCCCAACCATCCCAAGTAGTTGGTTGTCTGCATGAAAAATGAAGAGTGCAGGCACTTCCAGAACTAGCATACAGCATCATTTCCATCCACAGCAGCGTCTTCTGAAACTGCTTTCCCCATCTGACACTGTCTAATGTTACCCCTCCTCCCACCCAAGCCTCCTCCTCTCTTGGCCATCTCTAGCCCCAGCTAGCTGGCACGGAAATCCGAGTCATCATCTGCAAGGCAAAGCCAGGGAGAAGTACTGCAGGCAGTCTCTGCTTTAGGTAAGTTTCCTTGCTAATTTTTCTCTTTCTATTGCATGTGATCTGTGCATGTATTATTATGTATGCATTGATGGGACAGAGGCTAAAATGTAAGTGGTTGTATCTGGAGGACATAAGAGCAATGGCTGAAGATACTAAAGTGCCAGGCTTAGACACAACTCAGTTTTGATTTAGAACACAGAAATACAATTTAGTAAACTAAACGTGAGATTGTAGTCCATCACGGGAGTGAGCTTGGAGCGGTGGCTACTTTACAGCACATACAGAGTTCATGGGAACAAAAGTAGCCACCCTCCAGAAGGAAGGACAGTGTCAGCACAAATTTAGAGATGATTTGAGGATCTACAGCCGAGTGATACACAAATAAGATACATTTTTGTTAATAGTTAAGGTACTTGAATGCATTTTTAAGATTTAACTTCTGATTTTTGTGTCACTTTTAATGTCAGCACTAAAAGTAAAAGTAGTGTAATCTTTAGCAAACATTTAGATAACAGTAGTTTAAAACAGACAGGACTATGAAAGATTAGCTCTGATCAGTTGCTGTGGGCTACTGCACTTTGCCTTATTAAATAAGACTAAAAGAAGACGCAAGTCTTCCACTTCACAGATTTCTTTGGACATTTTAGGGTCACTGGTACTAGAACTAGGGCTGCTGATACTTTTGCAAGAACACAAGATGTTTGGCAGTTGTTTGCTATAATCAGTGTGTATTGCAATGAGTGTGTGATAACAAAAGAAATGTGTATGCCATCAGTACCATAACTATGCTTGAATTTCTTGTTGCTCGGTCATAAAATTATTGTGACATGGCAAGCATTAGTCAAACACTGCATTTATATCTGCTATAGGTTTTTCTATTATTACAATTGGTATAAAGTCTGCCTAAGTGAAACAACATTTGAGGACTGGTTTGGATGAAGAAAATGTTAAGGATAAAAGGCATATAGGCACCAAGAAACCAAGCAAATTTGAACAAAGTTCAGCTTATAAATTCTGATCTTTATACGTTTTGAAGTTTATGTGATCGAGGGAAAGACATGCTTTTGGAGTTATGCACCCCTCCCTCCAACTTCTTCACATGAACATTTCAAGTCATGTGCCCTTTAAAGAAGCAGTGGTTAAAAAATATTTGGCTTATGTGCAGACTGCCAACTCAACTGACAGTCAAACAGCACACACCTCATTTCTAGCTTTTAATTATATTTCTGTTTCCTTTTCTTTTTTTAATTCTTCCTTGCCTCCTTCTAATCTTCTGTTAGAAAATGTTGCAGGCAAAGGCTGCTACTTTGTGAGCTGAGCTACTACTCAACAGTAGTTGCACTTTGGGTATCAACAGGTGTAAGAATAATACTAAAAGACCCACTACTAGAAGAGGCCCAACCAGTGGCGTCACAAGGGACTGCACCCGGGTGCCACCATTGGAGGGGTGACACCAAAATGACTAAGAGTCATTTTGGTGTCACAACCTCTGAAAAGTCGGGCACTCGGTTATTGACTGAGAGTCACACCTCATCCCGCCGGGTGAACGTCCCCTCCTCTCTCTGCAGGCGTATATCACCAAGATGGCCACCGGCAGGTGTCAATAAGATGACCGCGCATGCGAGATGACATCGTCGCACACACGCGTGGTGACGTCACGCCCATGCCCGATGATATCCCGACGGGGTGTGACCCGGTCTTCGCTCTGGGTGTCACCCTGCCTGAGGACACCCCTGGGCCCAACTGGGCCCAACTCTGACCCTGATCAAGAATTCTTGTTTCTTTCCATCTCATTACTCCTAAAAAGATGTGTTAATTGGAAGATCATATATTTCCTGTGATGCAAAGAAATGTTCTGCTTGAAGCCGTTCAATAAGACAGGAAGTCTAGAAGCTGCCCCTAGAAACCTGAAAATATATGGTCCTGCTGGATGTAGACACAATAGGGGGCAATACAATAAAGCATCTGTAAAACATTTCTGGCCTTATGGCTCTAGTAAAAAGTCCTGCACCAAAGCTGTGCGACTGTTGTCTTGCTATTTCCAACACGTGCAACAAATTTAAGACCCCATTCACACTGAGCGACATGGTGCATCGCGCTTTTTTCCACGTGATTCGGTGCTGAGCGGCATTGAGCTACAATGTGAGATATTGAGCGGCAAAACACATTTTATCGCGCTACGTAGCGCGACTTTTGGGAGGGAATTAGTCGCTGCTACATTGGGATGTAACCAATCAACAGCGGTCTTGATGTGACATCATTCTTTCCTTCCATTTTGCAATGCAAAAGTTATCCTTTTGTAGCGCGATGTCACGCGACAAGGTCGTGCAATATCGCCGGTAATGCGCGACTTTGCGCGTCACTATTGAGTCATTGAAATGCATTGGACAAGCTACATGGAGCGATATCGCGCAGAAATGTGCGATGCGATTTATTAGCAGAATTCGCGCGACAAACCGCTCAGTGTGAACCTGGTCTAACACGTTTGCATGCTGGTGCATGCAAGAAATACCACCAGATCAGTGATAAGAAAAGTGGAAGTAAATTGTAACATAGTAACATAGTAGGTGAGGTTGAATAAAGACAAGGTTCCATCCAGTGTGTGTATGTATGTGTGTGTGTATGTATTTTTGTGTGTGTGTGTATGGCTCTAACACTGCCCATATCCTTGTATATGAAGTGAAAGAAGAAACTCATCTAGAAGTTTCTTGAATTTATCAACGCTATCAGCGGATACAACTGCCCTTGGAAGGGACTTCCATCATTTTACTACTCTAACAATAAAAAACTCTTTACATTGTCTAAGATTGAACCCGCTTTCTTCTAACCTCTTGTTGTGTCCTCATGTTCTCAATATAGTTATTGGCGAAAACAACTTGTTAGAAATATTGTGATCCCATTGATGATTTTGAAGACTGCAATAAGGTCCCCTCTTAATCGCCTCTTTTCTATGGTGAATAAGTTTAAGTTTTGAATGCGGTTTTCATAACTCAGGCCTCCGGTCCCTTAATTAAATTTTGTAGTCCTTCTCTGTACTCTCTCAAGTTCGAAGACGTCTTTCCTGCAAGTCGGCAACAAAAACTGCACCACATACTCAGGGCGAACCAGTGATTAATAAAGTGGAAGTATTACTCCTTTATCCCTTCCTGCAATCCCCTTTTTCATGCACACCAGTATTCTGTTTGCTTCGCTGTCTGCCGTTTGGCATTGCATACTATTACCAAATCTGTGATCTATGAGCACCCCCAGGTCTTTTTCAATGTTCGACTTACCTAATGTAGCACCCCCAAGTTGTAGTTTGTACACACGATCTTTTCTCCCATGTGCATAACCTTACATTTTTTAATATTTAATATCTACAGTTCGGAATTTACTGCCCTACACAGTTTAGTATCGTCCGCAAAAAACTAAATCCAGCTATTTATTCCAATCTCTATGTAGTTGATGAATAAGATGAACAGGATTGGTCCCAGGACCGAACCCTGTGGCACCCCATTCACAACCTTTGCCCAATTAGAAAATTACCCATTTATTACTACCCTCTGGATTCGTTCTTGCAGCCAATTTTCCACCCATGAACATACAATTTCATCCAAACCGATACCCCTTAGCTTATGAATGAAACATTTGTGGGGCACTGTATCGAATGCTTTAGCAAAGTCCAGATACTCCACGTCTACTGGTTGTCCTCTGTCTAAATTAATACTGACTTCCTTCCTAATGTTAGTAGATTGGACTGACATGAATGGTCCTTCCTGAAGCCATGTTGGCTACTACTCATGATGCCAGTCTAATTTGCAAATTCCTGTAGTCCCTTATCATGCCTTTAAATATTTGCACACTATTGAGGTTAAGCTGACTGGCCTATATTTACCTGGTGTACACAGTTTCCCCTTTTTGTAAATATGTATCTCATTAGCTTTTTGCCAATCATGCGGGACCATACCTGTCATTAGGGTGTCCATAAAAATGAAGTACAATGGTCTGGCTATGACCTGGCTAAGTTCCTTTAGTACCCTCGGATGTAACCCGTCAGGCCCCGGGGATTTGTAATTATTTAATCTTTCTAGCCTCTGTACTACTCTGCTCTCCGACAGCCACTGAGATATGTTAAAAGTTTTATTACACTTCTGCAGCTGATGCCCTGATCACTACCCACATCCGTCTCATCTGCAAAGACAGATGAAAATAATTTGTTTAACGCATTTGCTTTCTCCCTGTCACTGGTAGCTAACCTCCCTTCTTTATTCGTAATGGGGCCTACATGTTCCGTCCTTATTCTCTTGCTTTTTTTTTTATTTTTTAAACATTTCTTGGGGTTCCTTTTGCTTTCTGTTGCTATGTGTTCCTCGTATTCTATTTTTTACTGCCCTGATTGCTTTTTTACATCATTTGTTACACTTCTTGTAGTTTTTGAATGCTGTTGTTGACCTCTCTGACTTATACATTTTGAAGGCCTTATCCTATTCCTTTATGTGTTGTGTTACACGCTATAGTATTGTGTCGCAGACAATGTTCTGTCTGGAGCAATTCTGCAACAAATTCATATACACTTTACCAACAGTTACAAAAACTGTCTTAATCTGTGTCTACGGCCCTCTTTATGAATTCCAGGGAATGTACTGTAGCACTAGATGAATAATCACACCACCCAAATACTTTATTTAGTTAGAAATATAATAAAAAACATAAATAACAACACATCACAATAACAACAACATAAAGATATTTATATTATAGGTTTATTGCTGTATTAGCACGCAAGTAATGCAGATACACAGATTCATTGCCGGTAAACAGATACAATTATTTCATACTGTGACACAAATCTTTATATTTGCATTGTACCTGTTTGTACTGTTCTACCAACATCAGTGTGTCTTGCATATGAATGTACCATCCCATTCTACTCTCAGACATTAACATGTGGACATCTGTTCTTGTTCCTATCTGTTAAAACAATTAAAACATACTTTTGAAAAAAATGTTTGGTCAAAACTGGGCTTTAATAAAGGTTG